GGGCGTGTGCCAACGTTGCCAAATCACTTCAGATGATGTGATTTTCAGAATTTTATGTAAGAAATGGTTAAACCGACCAGAGGCAGTTGAATTAACTGTATTTTAATTAATGGGAAATTAAATTAACAATTATTATTAAATCGTGAGGAGAAAATTATTAGAATTTGAGTGGAATGGAGTTTATTGGTGGAGTCGACCAAGAAACAGATTCCATTTATGGTTGTGAAGAGTCAAAATTTGGGGAGATATGTATGTATATATGTTCTTGTCACACAATTGTGTATATTTTATATAATTTTGACCATTGTACCATCTATCCAGCTTTCACCATGTTACTGGGCGTTTCCCTCAACCTCAACCTAAACGTAAACAACAATTAGCAACATCCTCACATACTACTGTAAGTTAAGTCAATTTAAATTCATTTTACACTATTGTTGCTACTGTTATCATTGTAATTGCAGCTCCTGATGATGATGGCAAAGTTCATTGAAAGCTAGAGAGAATTAAAAAAAGTATAAAGAGTCCTCTTTGCTTAAATTTTGTCGAAGTACCCAACAAAAGGCGGAAGCTTTAATTTTTCACCTAACTGGTCTAGACGACAATGACCACGTCTCAAGTTTATATATATAGTAATCATTGTCATTGCTAATGACCAGTTGGGCAAGAAATACAATTCATCATTAATTGGGAAATTGGCAAACTTTAGGCTTAGTGTACTCTTTTACGCCGAAAGCTCGAGATTACCGTTAAAGAGAGTGCCGAAAGCTCGAGATTACCGTTAAAAGAGTTTATTAAGCCTAAAGTTTGCCAATTTCCCAATTATAATTAATTGAATATATATATATAACTTGAGACGTAGTGATTGTCGTTTAGATCAGTTAGGTGAAAAATAAAGCTTCCCCCTTTTGTTGGGTACTTCGACAAAATTCAAGCAGTCTTTATACTTTAAACTGCTGTCTTGATTCGGGGCTAAAAGCCGTCGTCGGTTGGAAGTTATTCCTTCCATTTCCGATACTGGATGTAGATTGACGATTTCTCTTGCGCAGGTTGTATTTATACCGGAGGGTAGGGGACGTGGCTTATTCCGCTTCGGTTGGCATTGGGATGTCGATCGGCACTGCTCGGGCGTTTCTGAGGATCGGGTGCCAGATCGGGTTGAGTCTGAGGGTCTCTTCCTTCCTGTTGAAGTTATCTGGATGTTTGTGAATCTCGATAGCTTCCCTGACCAGTCTATTGTGATAGCCGTTGACTGATGACAGTAACCCGCAGCTCCCAAAGTGTATCCTGTGGTCCCCATTGCTTAGTGCATGTTCAGCTACCGCATACTTCTCAGTTTGTCCTAGCCGGCAATTTGCTTTGTGCTCCTTGAGTCTCGTTCCCATTGATCTTTTCGTGGTTCCAATGTATACTTTGCCGCATGAACACGGTATGCGGTAGACTCCTGCAGCTGAGAGTGGGTCCTTCTTGTCCTTTGCCGATCTGATGGTTTGTTGGATCTTCTTCGTAGGCTTGAATTGTCTTCAGGACTCTGCCAATCCTGTCAGTGAATCTTGGCACAAATGGAAGGTACGCTTGAGAGGTGGTGGGACGCTGTTCGGTTTCACGTGGACTGGCTGATCTCGAGCCCATTGACCTTTCGATGTCCCTCTTGCTGTAGCCATTTGCTTCGAACGCAGCTTTCAGGTGTTCAAGTTCTGTCTGAAGGTTCTCCGGTTCGCAAATCCTTCGAGCTCGTTCTGTCAGGGTTCTGATGACTCCATACTTCTGACTTGGGTGATGATTGGATAGAGCGTGTAGGTATATGTATGTGTGCATTGGTTTCCTGAACACTGTGTGACCCAGCTTGTTACCTCGCTTCCTGACTACTACGTCCAAGAAGGTCAGTTGTTGGTCACTCTCTATCTCCATGGTAAATTGTATTCTTGGATACCGATCGTTGAGGTGCTGCAGAAACTCGTTTAGCCTGTCCGTGCCATGTTTCCAAATCACGAAGGTGTCGTCCACGTACCGGAACCAAATTGCTGGTTTGTTCTCCGATGTCTCAACCGCCTTCTTCTCAAAGTGTTCCATAAAAAGGTTGGCTATGACTGGGCTAAGTGGACTTCCCATTTCCACTCCGTCTGTCTGCTCATAAAAGCCCCCGTCATCATATATATATATATATATGATATGTCGGAAAGGTTGGTAGCAATGCCTTCCTGAGGAGAAGAGTCCGGCACGTATCTTGAAAAGTGACATTATATCGTTATTTTAAAGTAGCACTTAGTTGTACGTGCTGCCTAAACGTCATGAGGCTTCAGTTATAAATGTTTGGCTCTGATGTGATCTAAAATCGGCTTCAAAGATGGCATTACTGAAGGTCTAAGCTTGTATGTGTTGATGATAATTCCATTGGATTCTTGTCTCAAATACACTTACTTGAGATTCAAAGCTAGAAATTAGTTGCGCATAAACTTTTTCTTATTCGTTCTGAAAATTACATATGCAAAATTGTTGAATTTCAAAATTGAGGGAGATAAGAAATAATTATATCCACTGTACACTGTCGAATTACACATGCTAACAGTAATTACACACAACGCGGGTGCGGTGGTGATTTCCCTCAATTCTCCTCTAAGCTTTTCGTAATTCATAACTTTGAACATAACCTCTGTTCAGAAAGCACAACACAAATCGGGCACAGCTAATAGATATACTCGTACTTCATTGGCAGCATATCCAGTAACGATTTGCTCACATGGCAGATATAACTGATTTTATACACATGCAGACTAATAGACATAATCATCCAGATGCGATCTTGCTATTTAACTATCTTTCTTCTACAGACCACTCGGCTTCACAAAATATATGCAACAACGATCCTAGTGAGCAAACGTGGAATAACTGTTTGTTCCTTAAAAACTACCTAGTCTGCAAGATGACATTTTATGACGTTTTATAGGTTTTTTACATAATACCCGTGCCGGAAAAGATGGCGCCATGTAGTTTCTATCGAATGTCTGAGCCAGGCGATCCGTTTTGGAGAGGCTTGTTGACGCCGGCGGGAACTGACAAGCGCCGTCTATCGGAAACTAGGGAGCTTAGATCCTCAAGAAGTGGGCTCCATTACACCCGCACGGGTATCACGTATCTTGAAAAGTGACATTATGCCGTTTTTGTTGACATTATGCTGATTTTTTTTACATTATGTAGGTTTTTCTACAAGATATTAACTTAGCACTTTGTTGTACGGGTTGCCTAAACGTCATGAGGCTTTCAAAAATTACTGGAATCCTTTCTTGAAGGAAGGAAGTTTCGGATCAAAATTAACAATGTTTTGTCAACAACACGGCCAGTACGGGCCGGTGTTCCTCAGGGTTCGGTCCTAGGATCAATCCTTTATTCGCTTTTCATCCATGATGTCCCTTGCCCCAGCAACTGTGAAGTCTACCTCTATGCTGACGACACTGCACTTGTCGCTCAGTCGTGTACTGGTGATCTGGTTCATGATGGGTTGCAGGATGCGGTGGGCGAAGTACTAGAGTGGGCGGAACGGTGGTTGATAAAAATTCGAAAACGCAGGCTATTACGTACTTATTGTACTAAAGAACGTCGCGGCCCCCCAGCAGAGGTTTCTGCAGACGGAAATCGTGGACCATGGACAAGTTCTGCCAAGTATCTCGGTGTCACCCTTGATAAAGGCATGACCTGGCAGAAACATACAGCATCCATAAAAACAAAATTCCAAATTGCGTTTCGGCAACTATATCCTTTGTTATGTAGATCCTCCAAATTGAGTTTTATAAACAAAGTTCGACTATATAAAATGATTATTAGACCAGCCATTACTTATGCATGTGCGGCTTGGTGTGCAGAACTTTGTGGACAATTTGCAACGCTCCATGGTATGTCTCCAATGAGACACTACACAGGTACCTTGACATTCCTTACTAGAGGGATTATGTCAAGCTTCAGGCGCAGCGACGTTATAGTCAATCGGAATCTCTGTTGCGTGACTCAGTGGACTACACAGTGGAGCAAGTTTGTAAACATTCAAGGCCACGGCTCGCACTGTGATCAAAAGTTAGCGCAAATTTTTAGTGAACTCAAAATTACACTCTAACAAAACCGAATCAAAAAAGTTTGTTTAGTTCACTTCAAAATTAATCCGTGTACCAAGTCAAAAAGCCTAGGTGTTTCCTCTTAAACTAAGCACATCTGTTTCTCTTTGCTCTTCTCCTTTCTTCTCTTTCCTTTCTCTTTTTCCTTGACTTTGTCTGGTTTCTGAGCAACCAGGACTGACAGATTCGACTAACGTACATTGGACTGTGACTAATGGGCAAAGGTCCTACGGACCGCCCAGACAAACAAATGACAAATAGTAGTGACATGAGGCTTGTTATCAATCTTTGGCTCTGACGTGATGTAAAATCTGCTTCTGAGATGGCATTACTGGAGGTATAAGCTGTAAGTTGTATGTGTTGTGTGTCACTATCCAACCCAGACCTGCGCGCCATGTAAGGAAGAACTGCTTGTTTAGAAATCGGCTTGCTTCAAACCGAAAGTGGCTCACTCTCATAGCAAGATCAAATTTGTAGATTTGAGTTTGGTGAGTGTCTTCAAGGCGTATCATTTTCCTGGACATTCCTAACCCGCTGCGCGTAGGCTTCTCTGCCACAAAGGCCACATGTAGGAACGTCGAATGGAGACAGAGGAAGTGCTAGACGAATATTGCAAATCCGAGAAGTGTTGTGTTTTTGAATTAACGGCGACCACGTCTGAAAGTAGTAGTTATAAGCAACACGTGAAAGGGAATCGCATGCATTCTTTTGTCAAAGTAAGCAGTTCTTATTTTTTTCTGTCACTTTCTTGCTGCTGTTTTTATTGCGTATTAGCTTTGCTATTTCAAAACTAGTGTTACTGCTGAACTTTCAGAACACCCCGCATTATCCTCAATTATTCCTAAGATATTGATTTGATGATGATCAGTTTGTATATTCTACCATGACCCACGACTATGAAACATCTACTAACATGTTGTAAGTTTTACGTCTTACCTTTTCTATGATTTGCTGACCATAATAGCAAGTAGCAAAAAGCAGTGCCATCCAACCTCCCAGATGCACCAAATGTCTTATCTTTTCACTGGTTTCGTTAGCATGTACTATTTGAAAGCTCAAAAAAGCTAAGACAATTGATGCCAGTGATACATGGACAATCAGCAAGGTTGTGAAGCATTCGAAAACGTCCGAGGTGTAGCTGAAATTATATTGTAAGTATGTCTGAAGCGGTGATGCTCTATTTGTCTTGTTCGTTAAAAAAGTGCAGGTACTTTTTCCCATTTTTTAACGACGATAAGGGTTCATGATTTGTTCATAGAATGATTTTTATTTCGAAAACTGTGCATCTTTGATGTAAGTGCTTCAGAACACAATTTTGTATATACTAACTATTACGTTCAGTAGCACCCAGCTGCTACGAGCTAGCAATATGTGGGGTATAGTTATGCTTAGTCTACTAGATGTCATCCGAATGGACCGCTTTCAGAATTCTAAAATCCTTTAGATTTTTGGATTGACAGAAACAGGATGAGATGTTCTAGTTTACAGCAGATATAGTCGATAGCTAGCGATAGGCCAGGTTTACATCTTGGGTGGCTAACTACATGACCGTGCTGTTCCAGGCGTTAACACTGCACCGTTCCAAACGATACTGTTACACCAGCTCATTTAAATCGCGCGTTAAGCTAAGCCTGTAACGCAACACCCATCACGATGTTCACACTGTGATTGCTAGTGCTGCTCCAAACCGTTATATGTTATATAGCACACAGCGCACGGTGTAAATGAACTAATGTTGCGCCATCTATTAGCACAGCTTGGTATTAGTGGCCATACTCACGCACCGCTAACTTTTAGCAGCTGATCGCTATTGAATATTACCAACGTGACCACGAATATACATTTACGTAGATGTAAACTTATCTCAATATCTTATTCTGTTATTTAGAAATGTAAGATGAACTACCAAAGATGGACAAGTTGAGTATTAAGAAACAAAGCACTTCCGGAATATGATTATGAACGCTTTTTGCATATTTTCACAAGATAAATATGTAATGCGTCTTATGTACTTACTCAATTATTAGTTGATGATACCTAGCGCATTTTTTTATCCTTGCAACAGTAAGGTTATTGTCATTTAAACAATTTGTGTCCTTGAAAGTATCTAGTAACATCTGCTTCAGATTTTCAATTTGGAAATTAATATGAATAAGAAAACCTACAATGATAACACTTCATAGACTTCTAGGTATGGTATAGAAACTAACAAGTAGAATTCAAAGTATATCAAAAAATCAAGACCGTCTTCTTAATCTACCCCTGGGAATCATGAATGATGATAAAGTAGTAAACGCACAGAATTCTCATAACCATGTGGGGTAACACGTCTGGTTATGGGAGGTAATTTGGGAAACTAGAAGTAGATGGCCCTAGTTAGGTTGGCGGTCATAACAAAGGTTATAAAATATGTCAAAATTATGCATGAGTGATACTAGAGAGCTATCAAATACGCAAGGCGATACAATTTGTCTGTTTGACAGTGTTGTGGCTTTCAACCACATCAGCGCCTCCTAGCGGGACCAAAATCAGACATCGCTGCCAATTCTGTCACCCCAGCGATGGCGTATCAAGATGCTACTGAATCATCTCTATAATATGAGACCATGTGATATAACTCTTGTGTATATAATGCGAACAGGAACTGCTCAAGAATCCATACTGGGTGAGTGTCAGCCTGCTATAATCTGCTCATTGGAATCATAACAACTATGCTAAAGTAGTAAACACAAAAGACTTTCAAAACACGTGAAATGACACGTCTGCTTACATATTAGCTAGAAATGGGAGGTGATTTGGGAAGCTTGAAGTAGATGGCGCTAGTTAGTTAGTTGCTTTTGAATTGAGAGTTGTATGCACCCGGAGTGTGACGCGCTCCCGAACTACTCTGGCAAATCCCCACGGGAAGGCTACGGTAAAAACCAACATGTTTGTTGATGTTTTGCTTTGAAGTTGACAATTTGTATCACACTGCCAAACAGTGGAAATGTAAAATACTTTTTGCCTCTATTTCCAGAAGTATTTTCAGACTATCCAATTGATACCTGGTGATGCTTTTAGCGTCAGAGGTCTGTATTTTTATTGTAAAGCCTCTGGATAAATGTGTCAAATTCATATTTTAGTGTAGTCATTCAAAATTATTTTTATAGTGTCTAGTTATAGATGAAGCCAACTACAAGCCATTGTGGACCGGCATTCTTACACTCTCTTGTGATCTTTATTATGCAGGAACATCTTAAATGTACCTTGTGACTCTGGGTCGTAAGATTATCAGTTTTTTACCATCGTCCATTGTCTGGTATCGGTTTAATGTGAGTTTAATGCAAAAAAACAAAAACGTTGAAAATACATAACCTAACAATCTTGATACATTGTCATTTTCGTTATCCCATCTATTTCGGAACGTCTAACACCGAATAAAAAGCTGGTGCATGAGGAGGCAGGAGATTTCAAAAATGAGTACCTCAGGTGCATTACACTCTAGAGCACTGGAACGGTATTGACAGGTGGTGGTTAGCTTCCAGTAACACAAACGAAGCACTGAAAGGCACCTCACTACAGAGCAAACAAAACACGCAATGCAACATGATCTGATTAACTAGCGTTGCCTACAGCGAGCAAAATAGGAACTGTTCAAGAATCCATACTGGATGATCGTCTCCTTTAGTTTATGTAAAGGAAATTCCGATTCTTCAATAGAAATGGGTGATGATCCATCTGTGAGGAAGCCCTGAGTATGTTCTACATACAACAAATCTAATACACAATACGAATACGTACCTATCATAGTGAGGGTAACCAATAAAATAACCTCGCAGATGTAGTAAGATCCAGCAATGATGTGCAGGAATGACAATGTGTAAACTAGCGGCTGAGTGGTGTCGAAAAGACTGTAAATTCTTATAGGGAATCCACATGGTTCGTGAGCTCTGTCAATCCGAGTTAACTTGCATTGCTTGTATTCAATTAAAGGAACTGTGGCATACATTGTCAGACCTATTGTTAGGTATACCATAAACCCTGTAAAATCAACTTTGAATCAAGTATTATAAATCACCCACCCCATGTATGCAATCCGCTATCTCTGTTGTTACAAAAAAAAAAAATAGTTCATATTCAAGGAACATGTTCTACGAGTATTTAATAACCTTGTTCGGGTTATGTTGAGAACTATTCTAGAACCGTTCTGATTCTGTCTAGTCAATCCTTGTGACTGTAGAATCGTTTTACAATTAGTTACTGTCAGAATCAGGACGGTTCTAGAATAGTTGCGTGCAGAACCAGAACAAAGCGAACATATCTGCATAAGTAGTAGTAGTAGTAGTAGTAGTAGTAGTACGGAGGTGAAACCTGGCAGCTAGGCCACCTTTGACCCTTTTTGCCGACCCCCGTATTACCAAAACTGATATATCATACCAGTCCCAGCGATGAGATGTACCTATCGTTAATATTGCACCCATGTGCGCGATATAGACGACACATAACACAACATCCATGACACGGAATTAAACATCCGATGCGGATTCGAACCCGCGATTCCCGGTGTGCCAGCTCGACAAGCTACCCACCGACCTGCAGAGGCTTCTATCTCTGCATATAAGCCATCTTATACAAGTACGAATTCAGGGATTACTGAGACCGGCACGGGTATTACGTATATTGAAAAGTGACGTTATATCGTTTTTTGACATTAAACTGTTTTTTTGACATTATGTAGGTTTTTCTACAAGATGTTAACTTAGCAGTTAGTTGCACGTGTAGCCTAAACGTCATGAGGCTTCAGTTATCAATGTTTGGCTCTGATATAAGGTAAAATCTGCATTACTAGAGGTCTAAGCTGTAAGTTGTATGTCTTGATGATAATTCCAATGGATTATTGTCTCAAATACACTTACCTGAGATTAAAAGCTAGAAATTAGTTGCGCATCCACTTTTTCTTATCCATTCTGGAAATTACACGTGCAAATTTGCTGAATTTAAACAATGAGAGAGTTAAGAAATAATTATATTCACTGTACACTGTCGAATTACAAGCCATATACATGCTAGCAGTAATTACACACAACGCGGGCGCGGTGACGTTTTACCATAATTCTCCTCAAAGATTTTCTTAATTTATAACTTTGAACATAACTTCTCTTCAGAAAGCACAACACAAATAACTCGTCGGGCACAGCTAATAGATATACTTCATTGGCAGCATATTCTGTAATGATTTTGTCACACAGCAAATATCTCTGATTTTATACACACATGCAGACCAATTCACATAATCATCCAGATGCGATCTTGCTATTCAACCAATTTTCTTCTCAGAAATGAAAACTACAGACCACTCGACTTCACAAAACATATGCAACCAACAATGCGTGTAGTTTAGTTGAGTCATTCCTCCATAGATGGACGCTCACAGCGATACTAATGAGCAAACTTGGAATGACTGTTTGTACCCTAAAAACTACGTGCCGGTAGTAAAATTGTCTTCAATGAAACAGCACGTTGTGAACCATTAAGATACGAGTTTGGTGAAAACTTAGCCTAATGCGTTACACAATGGAGTAGTATAAAAAACTGTCGATTTTATGCTGTCGATAGATGCCATCAAAGAAGATATTGTATGTTCCAACGACGTATGCTCACTGTTTGTTATAAAGTATTTTTAGTGTTTCCATGATTTGTGGTGTTTTCCCTTGTTGCACTCTTATTGTACGAGTAGATTGTTCATCGAATACAAAAGTTTTTTTCCAGACAAATGCCATGGCAATCGGATTTATGGAATGTGAACTATTTTATGTCAGCTTTATGGTCGCGAAATGCCGATTTAACTGTTGACTTTAAGTGACCAATGGAAATGAATAAAAATTGTTGAAGCTTTCGACTAATACCGGTAAGTGTTTGTTGAATAGTCACCTGCTTGATTGAAATGATAACATAGGTATAAATAATCATACCTGCTCTCATCGTTTTCTTATAAATACAACATTACATACACGGAGGAAATGTAGGTAGGCCATTTAAACTTTGGAACTTCAAACGGCATTGAGAAAGAAATTGATTTGTTTTAAAATTTCTAGTTTTATTAGAAACCTTTAAGAATGAAACAGAATATCATTTATGTGATTGATTAAATAGGCTTACATTTCATGTTTCTAGGCCTCAATTGTCTTTAGATAGTTGAATTTACATTCAATTACTGGGAAACTTTGGTAGGGGGGTGCTTTTTTTTTGATAGGGGAAACTTTTATAGTCACTCCCAGGCAAAATGGTCAACAGCATTGCCCTGCTGGCAATTTCTACCCAAAGTGTGAGATTCTCCAGAAATGGCATACTAACTAAAACCCCTCAGTCCCACCACGGTAATGTTTGGTGCATTTCTTCATAGTCATCTATTATCTGTCGTACACATACAAACTTTTATACCTACGAGGGATGTCTTTTAAGTTTTGCATATGGAAATAAAACAGCACGGTAGGTAGTTTTAAATGACTTTATTGTTTTTCGAAGATTAATACACATCTGCATGCGCTCGATCCAATTTTCGAAGCACTTATTCCACTCATTTGCAGGCAGATCCAAAACGGCATTTTTGAATGCGTCAACCGCTTCTTCTGGTGACTGGAACCTTTGACCACGCAGTCTGTTTTTAATTTTCGGGAAAGTAAAGAAATCGTTAGGACTTAGATCGGGACTATATAGAGGATGGTCCAATAATTCCACCATTTCTGCCGTTAAATACTGCCTTATTTTTTGGGCTGTGTGCGAGCTTGCATTGTCTTGGTGGAGGATGATTCTTCTTTCGGGGTTGATTTTTCGAAGCTCGATGATGACTTTTGGCAAACAAATGGTGGTATACCAATCCGCAGTAACAATTCCTTGCTCATTAAGAGGAATTGTTGCAATATGACCCGATTTTGACACAAATGTCGCGACCATATTTTTCGAACGGATGACTTTTGTTGGCTTTTCTTCACCTTGGAACACCCAAACAGCCGACTGTCGTTTATTTTCTGGTGCATAACAGGAAATCCACGATTCATCACCACTATCAATGCTGTACACATTTTTTGAGTTTCCGGAATTGAAACGGTCAAGCGTTTTTTGACACCAATTAACCCTGACTGCTTTCTGCTCTTCAGTCAACAGGTGGGGTATCCAACGAGAAACTAAT